GTCAATATAAAGCAATCACACTACCTTAAACATGGAACTTGTTAGCAGGTTGTGCAAATACTCAAAACAACGCAGGTCAATGGCGCGTTTACCCATCAGCTGGCATGGCAGAAAGGCTTCCGCATCCTCAATGGCTTTTGTAAAACGCATTTTCAGCAACATCCAACCTAGCAGTAGCGGACCATTTTCGGGATTATGATACATACGTATGATTTTCTTATCCAACAAGTCGATAATATTCAGCGCTAAAGCAGAGGCTGTGTCGCTCAAATCGATACACTTCAAAAGCAAGATAGTCTCCGAGTACGCCAAACGTGTCATTAGCTCATTATGTAGCGGTTTCGCAATATCCAAGTAACTTTGTTGTCTGCCAAAAGTGTGTTGTCGAAAGCAGTCGAATATTTTCTGTATATGCTTCAATTCGAATGGTGAATGTTCACAAATGAGCAACAGGATGTGTAGTACTTCGTTAATTTCGCGTGCATTGCCCTCCGACCAGACAATCAAACGTGTGTGATAATCGAAAAACTCACCGTTAGCCAGCTGATTTGGTGGATATGCATTAATGAGTTGCTCCAATTGACTGAGGTAGGAATCGCGTAGTTTCGGCAGTGTAATTTTATTCAAAATCTCTTTGTATTGCGTGTGGTAGGGATGATTGGGTGTATTGTAGAAGATTAATAAATTTTTAACAATTTTGAGTACGATCATGCGTTCAAGCGTATAATAACCCCAAATATCATCGAGCAGTTTGCTCATATTACTCTCTGATGAAATATGTGTCGCGAGCGAGCTGGCGGAGCCGCGATATTCATTGGTTAGATAGTAGCAGAGTATTTCCCAGCATTGTTGCGACTCCAAATCCTAATGGCAAATTACGTGTATGTATTGTATATATTTAGTAAAACATTATTTTTAAATAACATACCAACAACTCTTGCAAATTCTGCGTGAATGGCAGTAGTTTCTGCTGCTTCTTCTCTTTCAGCAAGTCTTCCAATTTCACATTGGAGGCTGCACGTTTGCGAAATTGCAGCACACCATCTTGTAGTTCCTTCGACACATTCAACAATTCTTCACGCACAGTGCTTTCCGGTGTTTCATGGTGTATGCCGGACACAAGTTGCCACAGGCGTTTCCAATCGGTGCTGTAGTGATTGTAGTGTTGCAATATATTTATTTACTCGTGGTAATCTATAATAAATTACTTACATTACACTGCCATTTGCACTCATTGCTTGCTGTTTGCGGTTTTTCAGTATCTTCTTAATTATTTAGCAGAAATTTCACTTAAAATTTGTAAATTAACTACGAACGTGAAATTCTAAGCATAGCTCAGCCGCCAAATATTCCGAAACGATGCGGTTGTCAATTGTCAAAAGCAGCTGTTTGTTTTGGCACGCTATTGTAATAGATTCGCCGATTAGCTTGTGCTTAAGTAGTAGCGCATGGATTTTGAACCGTTTGAAATGTTTTAGCGCTTTTGTGATATTTAAACAATGCTGTTTTGTTTAGAGTGATTTATTTTATTTTAAAAGTGAATTTAGATTAAGTGTAGTGAAGTCTATAAAACTCTATTTGAACTTTTGGTGGCCAGGTTGAGATGGTTTGTTATTTCTACAGGCTTATAAAGTAAACCTAGTCATAGGAAATCTTGCTGTCTCTTGTACAACAACAACCTTAAGCAATTTCTTTCGGTTCCTTAAAAGTTTGACATTTGAGTGCCCGAATTTTGTGTGATTCTAAAGAATAGTCGAATTTTAATTAAAAGCATTTTAAGTTAATTACGTGTAGATTTAACAAAACATGTGTATGTATTTGTTTATATGTGTGCGCGAAATTAATGCATTTTTTGCTTGATTATAACAACAAAATTTTAAATAAGATCAATGACATATTTTAAAATATGTGCAAGTTTTTATAATTACGTGAAAAATTTTAAAGTAATAAGTGATTTTTTCTAGGAATATTGTCAATCAATTGTGTACATTTTGACCACTCTACACTTTAAGGCAAGGTAAGCTCACTAAGTTTCAATAAGTTATCTTATTTGTTATATAAGTATGTTATATGATCAGACGGAAATATATGCATACATAGATTTATATACATATAGTTGTTCTCGGCGATTCTCATATTTGGCATATCGAGACTAGGAAACTAGTTACAGACCAATTTTATCAATTTTTGGCAGCGAATACCATATGGGCTGAAAAGTCTTAGAACTGATGGAGACATCGCCCATAAACGTAAATCTCTATTCTTGCCTTCGAGCGCTAACCCTAACTAGAATACTGTCAGAGTTTCATTTCATTTCATCCAATTATTTTCAAGTTATTGGTCTCAAGGTTACGTTTCTTCTGCTATTTTTACTAATATTTAAAAAATTTAGTTCTGTGTTTTGATAAAACACCGTTGATACTAAGAAATCATTTTTTTCCTCTCGCAACGCGAGAAAACAACGGAAACATTTAAAATTTTTTTTTGCGAGACCGTAAAATGAAATTTATTGAGTTAGTAATATCAGAGGCTCATAGGCAGGGACGTATCCAGGCTTTCGGAAAGGGCAAAGGCGGTTTTGAAAAATTGCTGTTATTTAGAAGATAATTTTTTAACAGCAAATGTTAATGAAAATATGAACAGTGATCGTATATCGAATTATTCAAGAATATTTGCTAATGACAAGTGGAAAAATTGAGGTGAACCTGCTAGATTTGGCCACAAGCGACTATTTGCCCTAACTCAGCTCAAAACGTAACTCGTTGAAAAAATATTTCATTCAATTGATGGTGTTAAGTCAAAACCAAATACCTATTTAGAGAGTATCAAAGTATTCATGTTAGAGGACCGCCTAACGCTAGATGGGGATTAGTCGAATAATAAAGCCATATTTTCAACGAAAACAAAAAAAAAGTTAACCCTTGATAACTCCAATAATATCCTTCACGGTCAGTTTGTATGGCATCTATGTATATATGTACATACAGGTTGGTTAAAAAGTTTCTGCGCTCGAAATGAGAAAATACTCTTTTTGGTACGAAATATATTTTTTTATTCTATATAATCTGCCTTAACTTCAATACATTTATTCCATCCCTACTATGACTTTCCGGAAGCTCTGCAAAATACTCGTCTACGACTGTAATAGCTTTTTCATTCGACGAAAAACGCTTTTCACGAAGGAATTGTTTCAGGTTTTTGAAAATGGGAGCCTAATCTGGTGACTACGTTAGATGCTCAAGTAATTTGTACTTTAATTCGTTGGATTTCGTCATTGTTAAAATACCTTTGTGATCAGCTACATTGTCTTGATGAAAAATTACTTTTTGTGCTGCAAATCAGGTCTTTACTCACGTTTTTTTTTCATCCAGCTGATCCAAAAGGCTGCAATAATAATCGGAGTTTATTATTTTACCTTTGTGCAGATATTTAAACAAAAAATTTCCTTTTGCACCCCAAAAAACTAATACCATAACATTCTTTTCTGATCGTTGTGACTTCACCTGCTTTGGAGCTGAACAACCAGCTTCAGTCCATTGTAAATGTTCTTGTTTCAATTTACGATCATGGTGGTAGATCCAAGTCTCATCCATAGTTATAAAACCAGAGAACGTAGAAGAACGTTCTCTGATAAAACGACGCAAGAAATCGGTGTTATTCAGCTTAAAACGCTCCAAATTATTCTGAGAAATTTGTTTTCGATCCAGTTTTTGTTAAATTGTTAATGTGTGCGGCACTAACTCTCCAAACAGCTTGTTCATATGTAATTCTCCAGGTAAAATATGAAATACTCGTTCGTCTGAGTTGACTATGGCATTAGCCATTTCACGCTTAGTCAAACTTGGATCTTCACTAACAATAATATGAATCTGCTCAATGATTTCTGATGTGGTTGCGGTTTTTGATCGTCCTTCGCGTGGATCATCTTCGAGCCTAGTACGAACACGTTTAAATTCACCAGTCCCAAATTCAACGGTTCGTTTTGAGGGTGAGAACTCCTTATACACTTCTAACAATGGTTCATAAATTTCCTTTGCTTTTAAACCTTTCAAAACAAAGAATCTTATCACTGCGCGATATTAAATTTTTTGCATATTAAAATAAATACTCTGACACGTCAACTTCAAATGGCTTGTAAACAAAGAGTTAATTGACGGAATGACTTGTAACTTAGCATGTGTTCTCACGACAGATGTACCAAATTGAAACTAGTAGTGCCATATCTTGATGAGACCAACCAACTTGTACATATGTACATATGTATATGCTATAGTGGTCAGATCTTGGAAATTTCTTCGAAGATTGTACCGTTGAGTGTTACAAAGTTCGTGGCAAACTTAATATACCCGGTTCAGAGTAATTTCAACCCATGCAATATGTGTCCAGAACATTGAGTTTAAATAAAACATCAATTTTTTTTTGTTACCTTTATGAAGTTGATTCTTCTTCCCTATAAAATTATGTAAACTAATACTATAATTTTATATGCGCTACAAATAAAAACACTATCCATTAACACACTAATACACACGCATATACATACATATGAATATTCGTATACATAAGTATTCATTAATAACCTCGCACCAGACTTCTCACTCACTACTCAAGAGGGTAGTTTTCGAAATTTTGCTTTTGCTTTTTGCACTGCATCTCTGGCACATATCAACATTTCACGAATTACTTAGACCTCTCAGCAAGCAGCAGCCGCCTTACGTCTGTCGGTTCTGTATGGATGAGCGCTAGCTAGATTAACGGTAATGCTGATGCTAACACGAACATAGTCCACATAGCCGAGCCGAACACACGCACAAAAACACACAAACAAACATGAACCACCATACACAAGACCTCCTTCCACCAGCCCAGGTCGGCCGCAAACCCAATAGTCCGACCGACCCCAACAACTGCAGCCAGGCACTACTGTAAGTGCGAGCGCCTACCCGTCAGCGCTTACAGACCCAAGCCAACGCGAGCACACTGAGAGCAGATCTAATGACGAGAGCGACAAGCGAGTCAGCAACACATAGAAAACGGTAAATCACAAGGCGAATGTGCTAAACGAAGCTGTGACCGCAAGGATTTTTATAGCATCGCTAGGGCGCTTGCGACAGCACGAAATTAGTTACAGAAAACTGACGCTACGCAGTAGATCTAGTGCTGACAGCCAGTGTGTATATACTTGCTTAAAAAGATTAGCAAATAGGAAACATCAATAATTCCGAGTACATATTAAAAGTGAATACAGACGCCATGTCGCAAAAATCTATACCAGCGGCGCATACTTTCGAAAATGATAATAGTAAGTGTGCCAAAAACAACTAAAGAACAGTAAATTTGCAGTATTTTCCTCAACTTACTACACACGAGTGGCTGTTTGTGTGCACGTGTGATTTGCCATTATGTCACTGATTTACAGCATAACAGATTGTCTGTATCCTGACAAGTGGCTGTGTTGCTGTGCTCTTGTTGTAATACCTCCAATTTAGCTTCTTTCCTGCGCTTAAGTTGCTAGCTAGTGAAGTGTTTGTTTGCTTTTTCATCGCCAAAAATGTGTATACAGCAACAAAGTATAAAGGAATATACATACATACATTTGTGTATGTATGTGTTGTGTTAGTGGCTGCTTGGAGTACGTTATCATTACTGGCGAAGGACACAAGCGAGCAGTTGAATACTTGTACGCTAGCTGCTTCTATCGTCCTCCTCTTTATTGCTTTATCAATTCTGTTTTGCTTTTTATCTTCACCTCCACATTAGTTGTCGCTGCTTTCTCGTCGCTGGTTGTTTAGAAAAACGAAAAGGATTTAGCCTCAGCGTGCAGAGAAAGAGTCGGTTGGGCTGATGCTGTGAGCGCCAAGTCAAATTGCGGGTGTTTAGCGTGTATAAATCGTGGTGAATATCGAAAAATTATTCGTTTTCACCGCAAGTTTATAAATAAGATATGCTGTGAGCCAATTTTTTTTTGCTTTGTATTTATTAAGTGACTAGCTTAATTGTCATAAAGAACCAATGTAAGAAAACCAAATAAGGGAGTCATCTCACTAGTCTTGTGGCAAAGTACATACCAATGTATGCACATATGTATATATTTCTGCTGCCTAACGGTATAATGTTACTCTCATTATTTTCACTTAATTTTATTGAGATATCTTACTATAATACCGTTACATAAACTTGTAATACTCTTCACAAATACCAAAAATTTCATACAAGAACTTGATTTTGATCGATAAGTTTGTATGACAGCTATAAGCTATAGCGGTCCGATCTAAATATTGTAATTTCTTCGGAGATCGCATCGTTGGACAATAACATGTGCCAAATTTCTTGAAGATATCTCATCAAATGGAAATATTTTCTATACAAGTTGTATGACAGCTATATGCTAGAGTGGTTCGTTATCGGCGTTTGCCGCAAATGAACATCTTTTTATGGAGAAAAGGGCGTGTACGAAGTTTCAGATCGATATTTCGATAATTGAGCGACTAGTTCGTATATATACAGAGTGACGGACATGGTTAAATTGACTCAGCTTGTCCCGCTGAACCAGAAGGGGAAGAAGAAGCGAAAATCATTATATCAAGACCACATTGCGGTCAAGAAAACATGTCCACTGAATTTCATTGAAGTTTCATACATATTGACCGATATATGGTATATGTTGTAAATACATCCGGTAAGGCCGAAATTGGTATATGGGGACTAGTGCAAATACTGAACAAATTTTATTAATTTGTTGCAGCAAGCTTTATTATTATCAAGTAGAGATTACCACTTATTTTCATTCAGATTTACGGACCGACCGATATTTTTGGTCTGAAGTCAGTGGCAGACACTAAGTTATTCATACTAGGTATCTGGTGACTTGTAACTTTAACCGCAAGTCTAATTGGATCATTTTTAGTTGGGCGGTGTTGTGTCGTATGGACGCTAGGCGTAGTTGAAGTGGGATTTTGCGTTTTTTCAGTAAGCAAAGTGATACTAAGATGTCGTAGTAATATGTTGAACCAGAGTTAGTACAAATTGGTCGAGTAGTACCAGCAACTGGTATAAAAAATTCTGCAGAAATCTAAAGCAAGAGTGTTGTTTCTCGGTTTATAGAACATTTTGTCAAATAAAACACAGGAAAATTGTAGAAAATTTCTCTATGTTTTGGCATTGTTTGTTCTCAATTTTTATGAGATTCAATATTTGCAAAAAATTTCCACCATATGGCAACATTACGTGCAGATTCTCATATCGATCCAAATTTGCCACGCTAAATATTGATTTCTAGCCATTTAGTCGTATTAGCCTTTACATTAGAACATGAGCATTAGAATCTTTCTTTGTTCTCTCTAAAATAAATTCTATATCTCTATATATTTTCTAAACCAATTTCTTTCCATTTGGCTTATGAAAAGACGACGTGATCTTTTAGGCAGTTCTACAGAAGACTGTTCATTTACCCAAACCAAGTTGCTTAAAGAGATCAAACCAGAGTGTCGATATCACAGAATAAATGAGACTTGTACGCGAATAATAAATGAATCGAAAGTAATGACTTTGCATACCACATAGCTATCAATTTGAAAAAAATTAAAGCGAAAACAGAAGCAAAGTTCTTTTTCATTAGCTCTTACATAGGCAGTAACTATGAACGATAGCTCAAGAACTACAAATAAGTCTATAAAGTCGAGATGCTTGATATAGCAGGAGTCAAGTAGTTCTCCGATTTAACCTAGAACCCCCTTTGCTCTCAGTTAGATTGCCAAGCGGTAATTAAGGTGAACTGCTGAGTCAATACGTAGCCTGAAAAAGAACAATTATTGAAATAAGTATCTATAATAATCTTTTAAAAGTTTTAAAAGAATCACAAATATATACATTACTTTGGTCAGTTTGTAAACCACTGTTAAAATATAATATATAAAGGCCCTGTAAATTTGCGTATAGTTTTCTACAGAGGTTGAGTCCTTTTCCTTGAATCTCACTTCAAATTTACTTCTTAGCAGATGACGCTTAGTGATTCCAGATTGTAGAATATGTTGTATTATATAACGAGCCGTTCCTTCCAAGCAAATACTCGTGTCTTAGAAGTATTTCATTGGTATAGAGTTTCGAACATTCAGTTTGTTCCTCAATTAAACAATATCGATTGTGTGATGTGTGCTTTGGCACAATTCAAGTTCTTAACACATTTATTCTCATAAAATCGCATGCCCATCTTACAGATTACTACCAAATCAGCGATGAAGATCTCGAAGACTGCGATGATCTCAACGATGACTGCCTACTAGAAGAAGTGGTAGAGGGTAGCAATGGAAACAGCATCACAATCGGTGGACGTGGCCCCTATGAACGTGCTTGGACCTCCGAAGCAACGCGTGCGCTCATACACATACGCGGACCGATGCAAGGCATGTTCACGGAGGGACGTCAAAAGCGTACAGCGCTTTGGTTACACTGTACGCGACAGCTACAGAAATTGGGTTTCCGTTATAGCGCTGCGAAGGTACAAAAGAAATGGCACAATATATTGATTACGTACAGCAAGAATTTGCCGAAGAAAAAGTCCAGTGGCTATGTACATTGGGAGTTCTTCGAGGAGATGCATAAATACTTAAAGGATAAGCAAGTAGATATATATGATTTTCAAATGCAATCGACCCCATATACGAAATCAGCTATACAACAACAACAACAACAGAAGCAACAACTACCGCAAACTGCAGCCTTTCGTGAGCTCAAACAAGCGCCCGCACTCACGAATGAACTGATGGCACAATTCGACGGCAATCAACTCTCGTTGCTGGCTAACACCGCCGAAACGAATTTGGACAAATCCAATGATGAGTTCGACGAGGATTCGACCATAATGTCGGAGTTGAAACAACCAAAAATGGAATTTAATGACAGCGAATTGCCATTGGAAATATCACATGCAAACGGTTACGATCATAGCGGTAATAAGTGCGACAACGCCCATTTTCCGTCTGTCGTCAATGCGGCGCAGGACGATGGTGTCTGGTGGAAGGACTATTTCGAGCGCAAACTGGATGTGGAACGTGAAAAAATCCAATGTCAAAAGGAGTTGCATCGCGAACAAATGCAATTCCAAAAGACGACCGCACTGCAACAAGAGAAAATCGAGCGCTTGAAGATCGATGCAATCAACAATTTGACGGCGACGCTGCAGAAGCTGGTGGAGACGAAGAATCGCAAAGCGTAGTGGACTGTGAAATGATGAATTTTCATTAATTTTTCATTGTTTTAGGTTAGTTAAGTTAAGCCTTTGATCATTAGTCGAAAAGGCTTAATAGGAGTTACGATTTATTTGAGTTCATGCCTCTGGTATATTTGTGGAACATACATTTTTATTTCATATACATATATATTTTCGGTGAAGTTTCATACATTGTTATTAAAAAGTTTGACCTTAGAAGTCATAATATTTTATTTTGGGAACATGAATAAATATTTAAATTGTATTTCTCATAACAACCCACATTCGAGTTAACTTAGTTTGCCTGGAGGCCATTTTTGTTTGTGTACATAATCTTAGATATATTATTAAATGTAATAATTTTTAAAACCTGAATATAAAATAACGAGTACAACTTTACACTCACATTGTTTTATTATGTAACACATTCAAAATTACATCAACATATCTGGTATAATTTACTGTATTTGAGGACCACCCTACAACTGCCAATCGATTTCCAACACTGTAGCTATTGAAGTGGCTTTACTTTCGACCCTCTCAGTGCCATAGCTGATAATCCACAAGTCCGTTGAGAAAACCAAGCATTCGCCAGCACCTAAACGTATATTCACCACAGGACAGCGATCTTGACAGGGTTGCTTCGGGCGCAGATGTATGTCAAAGTGGCCGCTCAGTTGCTGTACGAAGATCAGGCCTTGTAAATAGATTTCATTCAATTTTTCTTTCGCATAGTTTTGCGACAGCAGCAACCAGCTTGAGTAGAATGGCTCGAGGTGTAATGGATAATAGTAGGGTCGTGTCACGTAGCGACGGGAAGCCTTTACAGCGCCTCGCTGACAATTACGCAGCTGTAGGAACCATTTATTGTTGGCTGGTGTTGTGCTCTTAATCTTCTCCAAAGCTAATTCTAAATTAAAGAGCTTTTTCAGCATTAAATTCGTGGAGACATCGCACGGTTCACTTTCTAGAAAATCCAATGAGGAGTTGTACGCTTGATTGAGCAGCGTGGAGAGTGTACGCGGTTGGTGCGAATCGGTCACTATTACTGGCCAACCACGCTCGAGGTACATTGATTGCAATGTTGAGAAGGTGATATTCGATGTAGTGGGAATGCGTTCTGGAAGTGAGAAATTATTGAATATGAAATTACGGACCGATTTCATGAGCAGCTCCTTGGGGAGTAAACAACGAGTGCAAAATTTCAGATCGATATCTCAAACCCTGAGCGATTAGTTAGCGTATATTCAGACGAACGGACAGAAGGACAGGGCGAAGTCGACGCTGATCACGTTTTGTTCTGGATGTTACAAACTTCGTGGCAAACTTAATACACCCTGTTTGAGGTATAAAAATAAATTTAGCATCAAAACTTGTAGGAGTAGTTTCCACTACCCAAATTTATAATCCCACCGTATTGGAAAATTTCCCAAAGTTAACGACAAGGATCACAAGCGGATGAAACAACGAAAAAGCTCTCTCTAGTGGGAGCTTTGAAAAGAGACAGTCGATGTATCGATATATGTCGACGTATATTTTCACAAAAATCACAATTACATTTTTTTGAAGCCCCAATTTAAATATAAGACATCATATTACTACAAATTCCGTGAGCAATACTCACCCAGCGTCTCACAGAGCACACAATTTGTCGCTTCAGTTTCGTAGCGCTCCGAGATCTTAGTTGTAGGTGCCACATTAGGCTTGTCCACCTTATACACCGTACGTTCAATCAGACAGCGACTATTATATAACGGTGTCCAATCCCAATAGGGCAACACCTGTATCAGCAACAATCGTCCAATGGCGCTGACAAACCAACTGAACTCATCGCACCAATTGTAGAGGAGACACAAAGCACCGAAGACGGCCAAAACAACGCATGCCACCGCCAAATATCTGTTGCGGTGACGTTGCAATAACGGCTGACATATGACACGCATCTCGTCGTCGCTGAAGCCCTGCTTCTTGCACTCAGCGAAGAAATCGACAAATTCTTGCTCCAACGTTGCCATGATGAGGCGTCTGCACGCGAACTATTTGCGGTCCCGAATGAGCGCCAGCAGTTCCCCGGTGGCGTTAGCTGATGCAAAAATGGAACGTGCAAATGTGGCAAATTGCTGTTTGAGGCTGCCACAGCACATGCGCGCTGCTCGCATGCCTGGCTGCCAGCACATCTGTCGATAAGCGAGTTAAGGAGTTTAAATCGAATTTAACACTTCATTGCATGCGAAATTGAAATTGAAAGTGTGGTGCGATTTGTCGGGCAAAATTGTATAGGGGGAAAGCAGAATTAAGAGTGAAAGGAAAATTAAAAAAAAAATATATGTATATTAAATTCACAGACACTTACAAGTATGTATTTGTTGCTGGCATGTTGCCCCCAAGCTGATCAATATTTGCTTAAACAAATCGTTAAGTTCTTAAAAGTATGTAAAATCATGCTTGTTTTAACCTTCGAAGAAAAAAAAAAAATATTACTAAGTCTTGCCATAAATTCTGTGACAAAGTCTATAATGTATACAACGAGTACAAATTCACAGAAAAAAGTACCGTTATTTTTTATAATAATTTTTATACAAAGTAAACTCAAAAGGTGGAAAAAAAGCAAGAGAAATTTATGAGATTCTCAAAAAATTTTACATTTCGAGAATGTTTCTTTACCACATTATTGATTGTTTCTTCCAAACGTCTACAGTTGATGACAGAAAGAGAAGTGGCAACCCTCGTGTGATTCAAACCAATTCAGGCATATACCTACTGTTCTCGAACGCACTCACTGAAATCCCCTTTGATCATATAAAATTATGTAAAGGGAAATGTATATCGTATATCGAGGAGATCAATGTCAAAACTCATTCGAGATAATCTCCACATGAAAGCCTACCGTCGGTCAACTCGTTATCTTCTGACAACACGCTTGAAGAATAGCAGGATGTTTTAGAAGGCGTGATAAAGCAGTTTAGCAATACTCTCTTCGATGGAGAGCATTGGATCCTCCAACGAGATCCTGCTCCAGCACACAAGTTAAAAACCACCGAGCAGCAGCTTAAAAGCAATATTTCTGGTTTCATAACTGCAGATGATTGGCCATTTAGAAGCCTAGATTTGAATGCAGCTTGTGATAAAAGTTTAAGAACATGGCCTGTCAAATACCCCACCAAAAATTTTGAAAGCCTCTTATAACATATGGTTCGAGCAGCGTCGTCAATACCAAACGAAACTGTGCTTGATGCTATATATCAATGGCCGAATCGTTTGAGAGCTTGTGTGAAGCAAAAATTGACCATTTCGAATAAATTGTTGTCATTTAATATTTATTAATGCATTATTAAATAAAAGCAATTTTACTAAAAAAAGTGTTATACATAATTTAATTTTTATATCGATCTGAACTTGTAACAGAACTTATGGCACTAATAAATATATAACAATTGCTGTGGCTCATCGGACTATGATAGAATAACAGACTCTTTCTGACGTCACTTAAAGAAAAAAGAAGATATCAAAGCATGAAAAGTCCCTAAATGTTTGGATATAGTGTTGACAAAACAGCAGGACCAACCGTTTTTAACTCAAACAAGTGTCATTTGTGGTTATAATAAATATATAGGGTCGAATCAAAAATAAGTGAAACTTGCTCGTTTGTTTTAAGTTTAAGAAGTCAATAAGAAGTGAAAAATTTAAGATATTTCATAACGACATTTTTTTTAGACATTATTTAAGGGAATCGCATTCAAACTGAACGACCAAAATCAAGATGAAGAACCTTTCATACACGTTTATACTTTAAAAAATGCAGTCGAAATTATGTTATTCAAAATTTGTTGGCAACGTTTCTCATTAGCATCTCCGTTAGAAATCATTCTTAACCTGTTTACTTCGATTACAATTATGGAAACCATTATTTAAGTATTTTAATAATCATGATATGAATATAATGATCAAATAATTATAAAGAGTTGATGATCCTTTTCTAAAATATCAACCAGAGGCCTAGCCTTCTATGAATATTTCCTTTAAAGGATCAATTTAACTGATAAAAAACAAGAAGAAACGTTAACTTCGGTTGCATCGAAGCTACTTGTATAATACCCTTCACAGAACTTGATTCCGATCGTTTAATTCGTATGCCAGCTATATGATAAAGTGATATTTTCTGAACTAATTTCTGCGGAGAATTCATTGTTGCGATAAATAATAATCCATGTAAAATTTCATGAAGATACCTCGCCAAATAAAAACGTAAAAAATACAAGTACTTGATTTTGGTAGGTCAGTTTGAAAGGCAGCTATATGCTATAGTGGTCCGATATCGGCCGTTCCGACATATAATATGATCAGCTTAGTAGAGAAAAGAACGGGTGCAAAATTTCAGATCGATAGCTTAAAACCGGAGGGACTAGTTTGTATATATACAGATAGACGGACTTAGCGGTAAACTTTATATACCCTGTTTAGGGTATAATTAATAGACGGCAACTCTTCGCGAAAATATTTTCAACGAATATCACTTTGAATACACATACGTATTATCAAGTTTGTTGAATTTATTTTTTGATAGCCAAATTGAATAATTTATTAATTTTGTCAACTGAATGAAAGAAATAATTCTAAAGAGATATAAGCTCCCCTCCAAAATATTTTCAACTTTAAGCTGTTTTGAGTTTCTTATTGTAAATTAATTGATTTAATGGAATGAAAATATGTAAGGAGGTGGCAATCCTTCTCTGGCCAACTTTAATGCCATAATCCTTAAACTATTTTAATATTATTACTTTAGCTTATCAAATTTATGGTATTAAGTTTTTTAAGTAGGTGGTAACCCTTCACAAATAATACTGCATTTATAAACTTTCGCATCTGTGATGATACCCATAATCACCACTTGCTACAGAAATAAATATGACTCTGAATTACTCACGTTCCTCTCCGATAGAACCGAGACCAATCTATAGTATTTTCCAATATTTCTAGCAATATATGGATTGATTTCATAATGTTCCTTTAAAATTGATATAACACATTAATGCCTCTTAATTGATCTCAGAACGGATAGTCCAGAAGTCCTATTAACATTTTTATCAATCAAGCATAAATGGTGTTCCAGTCAGGCTTTAGGGACAAGATTTCTTTCATTTTTTTCAAATTTATAATCTTCGTAAGACTTTTATTTCTCAAATTTTTTTTTTTTGCTCTCAAATAATTCGACAATATATGTATTTTAATTATAGGAAAATAACTTCCTTCATTTAATTGCCGTCTTTAGGAAACATACACTGCGTAAAGAAGTTACGAGACGCGTTGCACTCTGCATTATCATTCCAAATAGAGGTGGGACAATTTTTGTAGGTCTCCACATTGACGCAAGTCATCAGCACGGCGCTTAATGGCGAACATTTACCCATTCTATCCTCAAATTCAGGGTGTTTGCTGGCCTTCTCAGCTATTTTATCCTTCAAATCGCTAAGCATCTCTACGCAAGTCTCGAATGATTCTTCCATAACGGCAGCTATTTCTTCATTATCCATTACGACTGTGTCGAGTAAGGCGCTAAATTTGTCAATATCGGGTTCGCCGTTTTCGCCCATCACTCCGGTGTTGTTGAAAATGCACTCGATCAGGCACTGTCGGATGGGATGGTTAGTAAAAGTAATTTAATGTTCAATATTTATCTTGAATATATACAACCCAGCACTTACAGGTGGTGGATGATGATGATGATTAAACTTTGGTGGACCGCCACGTCCCATCGGCGGTGGTGGTGGCGGTTTGTTATATTCAGCACATTGCTCCTTCAGTTCATCAGTACTGATATCTGGCACTGGGCAGCACATTTGTGGCGGCTAAAGAGAATATATTTATAAATTTATGTAAAAACTTATTCAGTGGAATCTAAAGAAACATATTTCGTACGAGCGTGGATCAATGAATTCTATAGTTTTTCAAGATTCCATGACGCAGATCAGGTTAGCTTTGTGGGGACTTGTCTTTGCTAGGAACGTTATCACTAAAATATACTGAATATAAAGTCATCTGTCTAGGTAGTCTGCCAGTTCTATTCTCTACGATTGTTGGACAGACTAAAATACGATTATATGATCCCTATGTTTAATGAAGTTCTGAGCTCAGAAAATTTGAGCAGCTACCGAACTTATTTTCTAGAACCACAACTTTTTATATTTTTCTACAACTTATAAACTTGTCATGAATGAGAACTACGAAGTTAGGTCGAAGCAGTCGAATGTGTCTAGTTGAGAAAATAGTATGCGATACAGTCCTACTGTTAAAGTTAGATTGCTGCAATAGAGTAGCTTTAGAGTCTGAAACGTCGTGTCATCATAAACGAAAAAGAGTTTGAAAAACAATAGTCGACTAAGTTTGTGGGATCACAATCTTTTCAGCTTTATTTGGCTGACCTTCTTGCTTGTGGTGCGAGTCTGCTAGCGTTAAGCTTTCTCTGCGCTTTAAATTGTTGTGTCGATGTTTGAAGAAAGACTTTGATTCCATCGGAATCGAAACTGGCGATACCTCGAGTAATGAGTAGTTATGCACCAGATTATAGAGGTCATTCACTATAAACTACACAGCTTCAAAGCTTTCGCTTATAATGCTGTCAGCCAAAATGTCGAACACTTTTCAGCTTATCTGCGTTCGCAGATAGCTTGGTGTTGGGGTTCCAACATGGTAGCGAACTACCAAGAATAGTTGTCAGGTCTTGCCATTATAATGTAATTAATGTGCATTATTATAATTTCATGTAGATAAGTTGCAAGCGCCAAACTCCGTCTTCAATCACCAAATATCTGTTCATTTAAGTTCAGTATTATCGATTTTCATAAAATTTCTGTTTTTTAGAAGAAATTTTAATTCGAAATAATTTTTTGATCTACGCCCGTCTATGAAAACGCAAATACTTACAACATGACGTGGCGGCTTAGTGCAATCCACAGTTTCATCATCTGCGCTAGCGTGGCACTAAAAAAATTTTTTTTTGAATATAACACATTAACACACATATTGTGATATTAAATTAAATTTCTCACCACAAATACAAAAATCACTACAAAAAATCCAAAGTTTGCCTTCATATTTGAAATTTGGCTCAGAAATGACAAATTTCAACTGATGTTTAGCAAGTCCAGACTCGGCGTTTTATACAAAGTTCTATTCTATAGTTTTAAATAAATAAAAAAATGGAAAAAAAATTCGAATGCTTGCACGCTTCAGTGCCGCTAAATTAAATCACGCTTGGAGTTCATTTGATTTGATATGATTTTATTATATATTCATCCTATATATATATATATTTATATATGTGTACATATAATATATATGTAAATTAAATAAGTGACGGTTTGGCGCTGAAAATTATTATAAATAAAATTATAATCACTTTATGAAATGATTCGAAATGTCCAAGTCCTCTTCCACTGTCCATACCTATTGACATCGTGACTTTTTTAACATAAATATGAACGAAGAATAACTTTGACACTCTTCAGTTCTTATTGATAGTTTGGTAGAAAATCCAAAATATAATAATCCAACGCATTCTGCTTAGAGCTAAGTAGACAATTGCTTAGAGCTCTCACATTAAAATGTTCATAACTCCACAAGAAATTGTTAAAATATTGACAGTCAGAGCTACAAATTTTTTCTACAAAAAATTTAGATCAGTATCACCTTAAAAATTGAACTGCATTCGAATAATATTGAAAATATATACATTTTTTTTACCAAAGTCAAAATCGCGAAGCTCAAATAGATAGTTTAACGAAAGCTTAGAAATAATGAATGCTTTCAGCCGATTTTGAACTCGTTCAGTAACATAGAAACTGTCATTTGGCGTAGCACAATGCGCCGAAGAGAACAATATTTTCTTAGAGAGTGACAGTTTCATTATGATTTTGGATACATATTCAATCAAAGTGCGTTTATAAATATTATTATTTTTCAATCGTTGGTAATACAAGCTGTGGACCTGTAGTTTTATTATAATGAAAAGTCATCCCACATTGCCTATACCGAATACTATTTCTTGCGGTTTGGCAATCGTATATTCAGTCTCCAATAATATACCACAGAAACTATTGTAGGATTACTTCACAACTTTTGATGGTTTGAGGTGGTCTTCACTTGTGAGCAGATGAGATTTCGGTTGACTGACTTGATCTGCCACGAAGTAAAACAATTTTCCAATAAAACCAATATTTTGGTGGTCAGAGGTTCTTTAGAGATAAATTCCGCTACCCCTACAAAAATTTGTTTGGTAAGTCCCCTGGAAACCAAATGTTTGCGAAATAAAATTAAATAGTATTCACACACTGCCTGTTTGTTTAACAATAAAATTTCATTAACTATGATTACAACAATTATTATTGCGAATTATTAGTTCTAGTTCTAATTAACGGAGAATAGATTTGCTGTCAACAATTATTAAACTGGTGACTGAACCTCATTTGTGGTATTATATATTTGCTTAATTATAAAAATATAATATTTTGTATTAAATGATTCACAGATAATATTTGTTTTTTGTTATTTAAAGAGCTAACCATATAACAAGTGGTGAAAATATTACGTTTTAGTTCACAGTTCTTCCTCTCAAGTCAACCCATTTTTTTTGAGTAATTAACTCATTATCGAATCAACAATATAAACTCGAATGCGCTCAGCTCCCCATGATAAGGTTTCCAGTACATTTTTGTAACTTCTGTTAAGACTCTTCTACTACACTGGTGGTATTGGTGGATTCGACGTTAACCAACAATTACGACAGATTAAATGGTATGACCTTGAGGGTGTTCTTAATTCTTCAAAAACTGAACAGGTTAGCTTTGTTAAAATGAGCATGAACATTGCTTGCGAATAAAAATTCGAAAGATTTGCTGAAAGATGAAAGGAATAGAGCTCTGATGCTGCAGTTATCACCCTCCAGGTTCAGGTTATAAAACTTACTAACCAAGCACTTGCTATAGTAATGTCTTACAAGTTCTACTTATTACTCGGAAGTATTTTTCAAAACTCTGCTGTTAAAAACCGTCTGAAACTCTATCTGAGTTTTCGATTCGGCTTATAGCGGTTCTCTGCTTCTTAGACTGATTGTACATATTTACTTTTCGAATAAATCGTACAGTCATTAAATCGGCTCTCGGTTGTAACACGTAAATACTAAACAATGCAAAGCAGCTCTGAAGAAAAAATTTAAGTTTAGAGAATCTCACAACATTTGTTTGGACTTTCAAATTGTTTGATTTTCCTCATTCATTGTTCAGAAGCCTAATCGGCTTGCCATCTCAATTCTATTCGATGAAATTTCAGGCTAAAATTCAAATGATCAGGAAGCAGGTGGTTGCAACAAACCACACGATTTTCAGCCTTAATTAGTGTAGCTATAAAATTCTACTTGACAGGTATAGTAATTGACGAAATTTATTAAATATTTCGTGATTGGCAGGTGATTGTTACATAACAATATTTGATATTGATATTGGGTTGTATTGAACTTGGTTGGGATTGCACCATTGTTTGTCTCGTCGTCCGGACCTCAGCATTCCAACAAGTTTGATTTCCTGAAACGCAGTTACTGGCATTCTCTTCCTACTGATATTTCTGGTAAATTAAGCAGTCACTTCTATCAGGGTGGTACTGTTGTAAGTCGGGTATCGGAGGAGAGTTGGATGATATTATGGATTCGAATTGTGGGCCCATCAGGTTGTTTTGTTTGTTGGTATATGAGCGACAATTATGACTTTATGTAACATTGATCATTTTGAAGAGTTCAAAGCAAATGGTAAACTTATGCGTTCAATACATAAATATAACGGAAATCCGAATACCCAGTAAGGACTTATGGCTCTCTCAATAAGCTGCCGTTTGATCACTGCTTCCAGTTTATATACCATATGTAATTCTTGCCATAAATATATGACACTCGACAAAGCCATATTCTTATACAACCTTAATGTATGAAGTTTAATTGTTACAATTGCAGAAACAGAATTAAATTTTTAGTTTAAATTATTGATTTCCAATTACTATCATCACCACTCATTCACTTAGCCTAACTAATTTCAACCGAGACACAGTTCAAGCTGACTGATACATTATTATACATATGGTATATACATAGTCTCTTTTCCAACAATAAATCGGACTCCTTCGGCGTATCAGACACCGACAAGAAAAGCTTTTAGCGTAAATTTAGCAAACAAAGATAAATGTAAAGAAACGTTCCAAGTGTTCCTGTATATACATATGTACACTTGTATGTATGTAGGTGTGCACATTAACATAAGTCCGACCCAGCAGCAGCAACTACTTTTACTTTTTATCAATAAGCCAATGGTGCTGCCAGACAGGCAAACGTAGTTTATTGCAAACAGATGGGTGTAAATCGTGCGAAGATAAATACTACCATGACGACTACCTATGGACAGTTTAACCTTCCATGTACATTGGTAGGCAAATATATGTACTTGCATGTATGCAAAGATTTGTATGTACCGTTAATTAGTTAATGGACTTTACATCAAAGAGAAAATCAACGATTAGAAATGGTGAAGGTTGAGATGACAGGTTGTTGAAGTGATTTTATGTATAATAAGGTGAAATAGAATAACCATAACCAAAATAACCATTAAAGGAAGGTGAACGCCACCGAGAACAACTTATCCAATTGAAATGAATGATTGAAAATGCCGAAAAACGCCGGAGTTTGCGACAAGACAATAATTGCCCATTATAACTCGGCCTCATGTTGCAAGACCGGTTAATAACTATTTGGAAAACACCGGCTGTGAAGTTTCATCCGCCTTATAGCCCAGACCTTTTGCCTTTTGACAATCGGTCGATGCAGAACGTCCTCACTGAAAACCGGTTCACATCAGAACAGAGTATAAAAATTCTGATTGGTTATGTTATAGCTTCAAATGAGCAATATTTTGAATAATACTATTAGACATGTTTTCCTTAAATAAACGTCACATTTTGAACGCTTGAATATAGATATAGACTAGAAAGTATAAAAGCTTATATAGAGTAAGCCTTGTAACTAAATAATATTGACCGCGCAGGTTTTATTTGAAATCAGAAGGTATGCTTTTCGTAACCAAAAGCCAGCATTGATCTTTAGGAATAAAGTCAAATTGTTATCGGAGGTTTTTATGTATCACTGTAGTGAGGCATGTTGTAAAAGCTATTCTCGATCGCCGAAGCCAATTATTTGTTTTCACTCAGATCTTTGCGGTGTGCTCATCTTTGACTATCGAGTCGATGTATTTTTTTAATGAGTTTTAACCTGGTAAAATAATACATATTAATATAGTATGTCTAAAAATCTGAAATCCTTATTGTCTAGGAAATTGCTTATACCAAAGTCATGGGCTGCTAAATTATGTTCGCAAAGCTATCATTTATTCATTAATAACCCAACGATTACGATCCTCACGCCCAAACGACGCGAAGAACGCTACCGCATACTTGCGGACTTAGTCGAATCATAAAAGGCAAGATTGCTTTTTAAACGTCGAGATCTAAAACTGTTCCACTAAAAACACAAAAATTGCAGCAACAATTATTAAGAGATTTATGTTTTATTAAGAGAAAATAATATAGTTTTATTTATTGTTGAAAAGTATGTCAGATAAATTAAATGTGCTCGAATTATAATTAAAATCACGGCAGAGGTAGGTTGCATTTTAAATTTCGTGATAAGAAAACAAAAATTAATTTTAATCATCGAAAATCGCTTTATGACTTTTTAAAATATTCAACATTAAGATCTATACCTTTCTGTATGCGTTTGAACTAATTGTCGAAACACTTTTGCCACTATTATTGAGGTATCTTCAAAACATGCGTTCTAAACGACGTGCAATGAGTGCTCGCAATGTCGTGGTGAAGAGTGATTCGTCTTCGGCTTTTGGTTTTCCTGATTTCTTGAAAAACAACTGGCAAACAAATGGTTGTGTACTACTCATAATTTACTGTTCTACGTTGTTATTATATGTTATATGTGGTTTAAACAGTAAGGATCTGAACTGACTGGTCTCCACTATTTTAGAACCCCCAGTTCTGGTAGTAATTTCCAATGTCAGTTTTTTTAAGTCTAAGAGTCCTGCGAAGTAGAGGAAAATTATTAGACCAACCCAACCATATTTGTTTCGTACTTTGTAATATTCCCGCTATAACCTCTTGACGTTCATAAAAAATGTGTTAAATT